TGGGAAGATAAATGAGAATCCCTTGGTATGTGCAGGTATGTTTGAAACCTAAGAAGTATTATTAATAATTTGCTTTTGTTTTTCACAAGAACAACTTGAGATCCCATATACCTTCAGACACAGGCCCAGGTAAACCCATTCTAGTAAAACAGGCTTATTGAACTTCCTGGAGTCCCAGCCTGAGGGAAACCCTAACCCAGTTGTCCACCAAGCATGTGATGCCCCATTTCTCTTTGCTCTTCAAGTCACCTTCCTAATACTGAAGAACGAGTTAACCTGCTCGATGTCACTGAAGTTTTTAGCTTTACTGTATGTATAGATACTATAATATATAGATGCATTATCAGTATTCAAAACATTTCAGAAATCCTTAATAATATTTCAAAATTGGTAGTGCATGGGCACACATGCACACACAGTCAGACGTATGAGCGCACACCAAGAAACCCACATAACAAGATGAATGCTTCCAACCTCTGGTTTTACTCAAGAAATAGAGCTGGCCATTCAGTTGCATATTCTGACCTTAGGAATCATCAGCTGTCAACGAATATTCCTCTTGAAGGCAGACGTGCATCTGAGGGTTGGTTGGATCAGTATCTTCCCTACTACTGTCAGAAGCAAAGGATGGGCTCTGAGAATCATCTCAGCACGGTCCTGCCACACTGCCTTGCCGTGCCTGACATGAGCACCCGTCTCTCAGCCCCAGACCCAACAGAAGGATCACCAAAGGGAGTATTTTTGGATGTGATTGTTGAAGTTGAATAGCCAGACTTTTCTATTGGGACGAAGCTCCCCTGAGTGTCATTAGGGAGTCAAACGTGCACTGGAAGGTGTGTGCAAACATGGACATTTTGGTTTTGAAATTCTCCTAATGTAAGGGCGGAGATGAATCCTCATCGACCTGTGATTAGAATCCAAATATCTTTGCCTGAAGGCTCATAGGAGACAAACAAGAGAGTCTGTCTCCTTAAGAGGCAGGGACCGAGGGAAAATGAACAGAGCTCCCAGCAGGCTGTGTTTCAGTCCATTGCAGTTTTTTTCCCAGGCAGATGGCTTGTTTGTTGCCCTATTAATTTACATAAGTAGAAGCATCATAAAGACTAGGAGATGCTTTTTCTCCTGTTTGGTACCAAACTTCTCACATGGAGAGGCAATGGAAGCAGGCAAAGGATGTGTTGGTATCATTCATTGATTAAATATTTAATTGTGAAATCTTTACCCAGCACCTGCCATGTTCCAGGCCCTATGATGCCAGAGGTCCTAAAAGCAGAATTCTTTCCCTCTCATCTCAGTCCCATTATCATTTTTGAAACCTTGTGTCTCACCATAGATCTGTGGATGGTCTCACTTGGATAGATCACACACTTCTTACTTAAAATATCTAAACGGACCTGACCATTGTTATCAAGAGCTGAATACTCCCTATCTGTTGCTGCCACTATCATTATCCTACCACAGGGCTCAGTATCTCTGAATTACCTCTGATACTCGCCCTCACCCATTTTTTTTTTTGGTCTTTTATAGCTGTCCTGACTAAATTACTTCTAGGTCTCTTTCCTAATTTGCAATACATTTTCATAATTTACTTCTGGAAGCTGTCAGTCCCTGCCCTGATAGTCACGCTCTTGTGCAGTCCTTTCCTCTTGTGTGTGGACTGGACGTAGTGACTTGATTGTAATGAATAGAATCCAGCAAAGGTGGTAGGATGCCACTTCCAAGATTAGGCTATGAAAGACCATGATTTCTATCTTGCTGACGCCCTCTCTTTTGTCTTGATTGCTCACTCTGATGGGGGAAGCTCCCGTGTTGGGGACGTCCACATGGCAAGGATCTGAGGATGACGGCCAGCCAGCAGCCAGTGAGGAACTGAAGCCCTCAGTCCAATAGCTTGTGATTCTGGCCAACACTCACATAAGTGAGCTTGGAAGCAGATCCTTCCCCAGTTGAACTTTCAGATGAAACTCAGCTCCCAGCTGACACCTCGTTTACGGCCTTGGGAGAGACCCTGAAGCAGAAGGCTTGGCTAAGCCAGGCCTGATTCCCAACCCACACAAACAAGAAATGTGTGTTGTTTTAAAGCACTGAGCTTCATGTTACTGTTATGCAGTTGACAGATTACTAATCCAGTGTTGAATTAATAGTCTGCTTTATTGAGTGAGTGCTGCTTTGATAACATTCTCATTCAGACCTGAAAGACAAGTCACACAACAACAATAACAAAACTCTGCCACTTCCTCCAGGGTAGTGTTTTGTGACTGGAATTTTATGGGTGCTTATAAATAGCCCATGTGGTGTTGATTCTACTAGCCTCTTAGAAATTAAGTTGAAACAACCTGAATCTCCTCTGAATTTCTCAAAGAAGTCCTGAATGGCAGGATCACTCCTAAACCAGCCTGTTTGGCTATACTGACACATTTATTTGCTTGTGAAAAATACTGCGGAAACTTAAAAGCCACCTTCCTTATACAGAAAAAAATCACAGATGGAAGGAGCCAGTATATGTAACCTGTGTAGGATAAGCCAGAATCAGTTTAATACCTGATAGTTCCCTACGAAATTATCTCTACCTGGAGAAAAATACAAATTAATCCAAGTAATTATTTGATGTCATGTTGAAAGAGAAGTAAATCTAATGGTGTTCTCATGAATTCAATTGTCTTTCCTCACTGCATTTGATCAGGGTGGTTTGCATGTGTAAACAGTCAAAGGCAGGTTCATGGACAGCTTTTGTCAGGTTACTACACTTGGAGGCATAAACTCTGGCTCTACAGATTTTTCGTACTTAAAATTCTGCCCTGTCTCAAAGGTTTTGCTTAAGGTAAAGTCAACGAAGAGGTAGGAAAAAATGCATTGCTATGAAAAGTACAGGGTATCTGGAGAACAATGTACCAGAGCAGAGACGGGGCCATGCAGTAAATGTTCACTTGGTCTGGAGGTGGATCCAGTTGAAGACAAAGTTATTGGACTTTCAAACTTGGGAAAGTATGTTTAATATTGGAAACTAATTCAGAATATTTTTGGGTGGTGAGAACAGAATAGAACACAGGAAAGGACAAATCAAGAAAAAGGCACTCATTGCTGTAGCAGCTTCTGTATTAATAAATGTTTGTGTACAACTGGCCTATGGACACTATGGGAATAAGTGAGGACTGTCCTCTTTGCTAATCTTTGGGCACTCCGCTCCCGTTCTATCCTTTGGAACCTGACCTTCAAGTCTACTGTCATCATCTTCCTTAGGATGACCTTGATCACCTTCCCCTTCCTTGAAATTAAATTTCCTTTCCCCATATCTTCTTTGTTTCAGTTTGGTTCTCTGTGCATTCATTCCAAGGGTCCAGATACTTCCCGCAAGCATTGCTCAATAATAGGAGAATCCTTGTAGAGACTAAGTCTTAATCCTTGTAGTCTAACCTGATCGTGATCGACAATGAGTCATATATGTGGAAAGAGAGCCCTGGAGTTTAGCCTTTTTCATGTGCTCCTTTCCTTTCTGGGAATAGAGCAGGGGTACATTCTCCAAACTCCCTTGCAGTTAACTGAGGCTGGTGTCTAAAGGTTGGGTGATAGAACGTGGTCAAAAGTGATGCACATCCCTTTCAGGACTGCCCTGAAAAGATCTCTCACTTCTCCCCCTAATTCTTAACCCTCTCTCCCTTCCTCCATGTGCTGGTGAATGGAGAGGATTCTGAGGATCTAGAGAAAGGTGGAGCCCATGATGGAAGAAGCCTCTTTCTCTAAATGACTGTATGGAACAGCTCTTTCTAAAGACCAGCATTGCTATGACCTGAGCAGGAAATAAACTTTTATTGTGGTTAATTGCTCCCATTTTGGATGTTTTGTTACAGTGTTTGATCTACTCTGATACAGGTACATGAGTTCCAGCTCCCGTGGCTTGAGCTTTTTTCATGAGAGACACACTACAGTAAAGGCAATCGATCCCAGCAGATCAGCTGGATTGCTGGATGAATATCCTACAACTATCCTCATCTCTTTCATTACAGAGACTAGGAAATTCTCATATTCACTGGTTAAACCTTCATACTTTTTATTACTTTCTTTACCTTTGAATGGATTGAGTGGAATAATTTAAAGGAGTTCTGAGATCCCCATGTGCAGAAACAGTGAAAACTTCAAGCTGGCTAGTCCGTCGTGGGGATAATCCTGCTATAAAAAAAGGTGTCACCTTCCTCCCCATGGGAGCGTTTAGCATCTGTATTTCCTTGAGTCTTTCACAAATCCAGCTGAGCTGCCCACAGCCTCTGCACATCAGTGCTATTTCTTTATGAATACTTCCACTGACAACATCACCTCCTTCTGCCCAGAGGAAACCAGGGCCTCAGAGAGAGATTTGGGGAACCTCTCTCCCCGATAGAAGACATTTGCATTGCTCAGGGGACCACGAGCGGAGTTCTTTCCCAACTTTCTTTTTAAAAGTCAACTAGAGATATTCACTCCCTGAGTGTACTACTTTGTGGCTACACTGAGCTAATGATGCAGAGATGGAGCACACTCTTCCGCCATTCTCTCCCTCTGCACATACCGATTTGTTTGCTTGGATTGTCTTTCTCTGCTTTTTTCCCTGCAAAAGGTCTGCTCGCTGTAAAATCCCTTTTGATGCTCTCAAATACACCGCCTACAATATCTCTGCAGAACGTTGTTCATATCTTCACTAAAGCATCCTGAGGTATGCCTCCAGGGTTGTGACTATATTTAATCTTTTGCAGCAGTCTGAAACCTAGTACTTCAGGCACATATGTGCTCTGTAAATATTCATGAAATGCCTAATTGAAAGTGAGTGGTGGAAGATATGACTGGGGCTTCCCTTAAAGTAATATCATCCATAGATTCCGGGACATACTATAGAACCAACCTCTTTTAGGACTCCATGGTATCCGTAAGTGCCCTTTGGCTTTTGGCATTAAAGTGATATCTTTCCATTTTGAGAAAGTGAACTTTAATGTCTATTTACATGTTGATGTTATCTTATCTCCTAGAACTTAAATCCCTTCTGAATGCCCTAGTCGTTTCTTTAGTTTCCTCATGGCTGACTTCATCTCCTGGTTCCTCAGGGTGTAGATCAGGGGGTTCAGCAGAGGGGAGATGACAGTGAAGGTGACGGACACGGCCTTGTCTGTGGGGAGGGCAGTGAAGGGCCGGGCGTAGACGTAGATGCAGGGCACAAAATGCAGGGTCACCACAGTGATGTGGGCGGTACAGGTGGAGATGGCTTTCCTCCTGCCCTCCCCTGCCTGGGACCTCAGCATCGTCAGGATGACTGTGTAGGATATGAGGAGAACGAAGAATATAAGCCAACTGACTAATCCATTATTGGAAATCATTAGGACCTCCAGCTTGAAGGTGTCGGTGCAGGCGAGTTTGAGGACCTGAGGGACATCACAGTAGAAAGTGTTGAGAACATTGGGTCCACAGAAGGGAAGGGAAAGCAGCAGGGAAACCTGCACGATGGAGTGGACAAAGCCCCCCGTCCAGGAGGCCACAATGAGGGCAGAACATCGCCCCCTACTCATGATGGTCACATAGTGCAGGGGCTTGGAGATGGCCACGTAGCGGTCAAAGGCCATCACAGAGAGGGAAAAGACATCTGCTCCCCCCAGAAGGTGGAAGAAGAACATTTGAGTGACACAGCCATTGAAGGAGATGGTTTTTCTCTCTGATAGAAGATCAACCAGGACCTTAGGAGCCGTGATGGAGGAAAAGCAGATGTCAAGCACAGAGAGATTGCGGAGCAGGAAGTACATGGGGGTGTGAAGATGAGATTCACAGGTAACTGTAACCATGATGAGGAAGTTTCCCATCAGAGTTATCGTGTACACCAAAAATAAGAAGACGAATAAGACCCAGCTCAGCTCTCGAGACTGGGTAATTCCCAGGAAAATAAATTCTTTCACTCTGGTATAATTTCCCTGATCCATTGGGTCACAGATGGTTTTTCAAGCATATCTCTGGAAGAAATAACAGTGCAGTTAGAGAATGTGTTATGAATCTACTGTTGTCTTTTCTGTTGCTTGAGTTTTAGGAGGGAAAAAGTTTTTTTTCCCTATGCATGCACTGTACCTGCAATTCAGCATGTCACTGTTAGAGGGAAGAACAGCTTTTGACTCAGTGATCTAAGCAGATGGTTTCTATATTGTGGCCACTGCAATGCAGCTCTGTGAGCCTATTCAATCACACTTTTACCATATAAACTGACACTTAAAATAATAAATAATAAACATAAATTTGACTGCAGGAAGAGTTTTTGTTCACAAAAGATCATTATGAGAATTGAAAGATGACCTACAAATGGAGGAAGTTATTTATAATACATATGTCAGAAAGAAGATTCATGTCCGGAATATATTTAAAAAGTCTACAAATCAATAAAAAAGGGAGAGATGACTGAACCAGAAATATAGTTCTCCATCCTAAGAACAATTGATTCTGCTCCAAAAATATCTCCATATGTCATGTCCACCAAAACATATATTCTAGGATATTTAAACAGCACTGTCTATAATTGCCTCAAGCTGGAAAATGACACAAATAACATCAGGAAAGATAAATTGTATTAAATTCACACGATACTCATACATCGATTAGTTATGATCCGCACTACATGTAACAATAAAAAATCCCACAAACATAAGATTGAGCCGAGTAATCCAGATAGAAAAGAAAGCACACTCTATTTTGCTCATATAAAGAATGAAAATATATAAAACAAAAAGGAACATGAGGACTGCTAATTATGTAAATTATGTTCTGTTTCTTGATCTAGGTGATTGTTACAAAGACACATTAGCTTATGTGATAATTCATGGAGCTATACATTTGGGTGCATTTTTCTGTCTGTATGTAAATGTAAACATATGGTTATTACAACATTTTAATCTCATGTCTAAAGAATGAATTTCACTGAAAATGAATTTAATGGATGACTCACTTTCATGGTGGGTACTTTTGTAATTATACAGTTGTAGCCTTTACCAGCTACAACCTGAGAGTTACCCCCAAATTTGTGTGCTATGCCAATGTACTTCTTCCTCTGATTCTGGTTTTAACTTCTCTATTTCTTTTTCATTTGCACTACTAATCTTAGAAAAAAAGTATTCAACAGACCACAGTTCCCCAAGCAGTATTGTCCTTTCAGCTCACATGGAAAAGTAAAATCAGAGCCCCCTTTCCCCTTCCATTGTCATTAGTTCAGATTCACGTCAGTCCCTCATCTTTGGTGTTTAGGTCAGTAAGACACAGTGATAAGAATAAATGTTCAGAATAATGATTTCAGGAAATTTCAAGTCTCCAGAATCCCAGAATTAAGAATTCCCCACACTATAATTACCATGAGTAGAAAATGGAGAAATCATTCCGACAGGACTTTCTGGTTAATCTGGAATGTAGAGATATATTTTAAATGGAATATTTTAAACATATTTTAATTTAAATACAGAAGCTGGTATTGGAGCATTAAGTCAATAGTTTTCAAATATTCTGCTCAGGAAACCACCGTGACAAGCCCAAAGTTGACTGTATCTCCTGTCCTCTCCCTCCCTTCTTTCTCTCTCCCATTTTCCTTACTATTTATATTTTCTGTCTTTCATTATTTCCTTCTTCTGCATACCTTTTTCATGATTGTATTATGGTTCTCCAAAAACAGGAACAATAGGACACACACAAGAATTATTATGAGGAATTGGCTCACACGCTGTGGAGCCTGAGAAGTCCAGTGATCTGGGTGCAAGTTGGAGACCCAGGAAAACTGTGGGTGTGATTCAGTCCTAGTCTGACAGCAAATTTCTCCTTCCTCCATCTTTGTTCTTTTCAGGCCCCCAGTGGCTTGGATGAAGTTCAGTTTATTGGGAGGGCAATTAATCTGCTTTACTGAGTCCATTGATTCTCAGCTGGAAATGTTCTCACAGACGCACCCAGAAATAATGTTTGATCTGGGCATCCTAGTCAAGTTGACACACAAAATTAACCACCATAATAATGCTGAGATGATGTTTTTGCAGGATAGGTGACTCAAACATAGATCTTTTCTTTAAGTTTTCCATTGAGATATAAGAGTGTTACAGCTTGTGGAAGGGGCAGAAAGTGAGGAGGTACAAAATCATGGGGATCTGTGTGAAAAACAGTCCCACGTGGGCATATAATGTTTGCAAAGCCTGTTCAGGGGGGTCTGCTGAACAGTATCACGTCCCACACTTGCCTTTTGGATACACGTATGTGGATCATTTGGAAAGTTTATGCAATTTGGGTTTTACCACTTCCTAGCTGGTGTGACCTTTGGCAAGTCACTAATAATAGTACTAAACTCACGAGAGATATATGTGAGCTTCACAGGGCATGGCTTAGAGTCAGTTCCCAGCCTGTACCAATATAATTTATCTACAACATGATGATAAGAAGATCTGCCTCACCTGCAGGGTCCTTCTGTGGTGTGGGTGAGATTGTACGTCTGTCTTGGAAACTGACGGCAGCTGAGGCATCTGATTTTGCCCGCGGCTACCGAGTCTCACCAGCCCCAGGTGAGGGCATCTTCCTTACGCATGCCAGTGCCATCTTGCTATTGACCCTCTGGTTCAAAACCTTTTTCCTGATGCTTTGGGGTAAGTGTAAAATACCATCTATCTTCTATTCTTAGGGATTTGAGCTAAGGCATATGTCCAAAAAACGTCGGAATATTGTTACTACATACCTTCTTGTAAAGATAAGTAAATTAATTTTGTATGCAGTTGTAAATAAAGGTATTTATGCTAAAAACCTTTACAGAAAGAAAATAAACTCTAGTTTTCAATTTGAAATCCAGTTATCAGGCAGAATAACACAGCTCTGCTTTCCTTATTTTTTGCTTGTTTTAGTGAACATTTATGCAATGATTCCTATAAGCCATACCAGCAGTATTTTATTTCTTCACAAACCTGTGATATCTATGTAAAACAAACATTGCTATCTTGATTTGTAGATGAGGAAACTAAGGCACAGAGAGATTAAGTAACTTGCTCAAGGTTATACAGCTGGTAGGTAGAGGCATGTCTCAAACCAAGATTTGTTTGAGCGTACAAAGACTAAGGCTTTTAACTGCTGTAACTATACTTCATTGATCAGCCCTTCCCAGAAAAGGCTGCAAAGAAAAAAAAATCCTTTGCAAATCAAGTGAAGGTTGTATGTGGGTGGTTAGGAGACTGTTCCCAGGAAGTGAGCAGAGTGGCTGAGGGTGACTTAGCGTGAGAGGATGTCAGAAGTGACTTTGAAAAAGAAAGCACAGTTTTGTTTTTCGGTTTGTTTTTTCCAAGAGAAAATGCAGACTTTGCAATCTTCAGAGGCACTTTCATTAGGGACCTGCATCAACTACATAGTGCTCAGGTGCAAGCTGTAGAAATGAGATCTGAGTAGCACTAGCTCAAATATAAACTCCCCTTAAAAATAATGGATCTGGAAGGTTCCTATGGATGCCAACTTTTTATAAAAAGTGGGAAGGATACTTTGAAAGTATAGGATGACACACATTGCACTGAAATGTGCATAAAATAGAGAGGGAGAGGAAGGAAAGGGACAAAGAAATACAATTTTATGTGTCATTGAAAGATCAAAATATGGGTCACAAGGATTTCCTAGAAATCATCCCAAAGGAGCCGATCCCTTGGAAACCAGCTTTCTGAACTACTTGGACGGAGCCTGCGCACTGAGGGCTGGTGCCACCGAGCGAATGCTGCTCCAGTCTCTGCATTGAACTGAACCTCACAGAGGTCTCCCAGGTCACAATTTTCTAATATTGAAAAGCCTCTACTTTTGATTGAATCCCTGAAAGTTTTAGAAGAATAATTCATATTCAGTCACACACGAGGGCACAGATAAGCCAGCCATTGATAACTTGACTCCAAACCCCCAAACCTTCATCCCCAGCCAAGAAGCAAAGCTGTCTAGACTGTGTATACAGCCTCCCTGCTGAGAGATGGGATGTTAACACCTTCTCAGCCACCTTCAAAATACTTTGAACTTCAACATTCCACAGGCTAGAAGCCACTGGACTTTCCTATATTTTTCAAGCCCCATGCCCTGTCTTCTTAATAGTGAAAAATGATCACTTTGCTCCATGAAGAGTTTTGGTTTCAATAGGAACATTCTATATACTTGCAGCATTTCTAAAAAATCAACACTAACAGCTTTTCAGTTTCAGAAATTCACACACACCAACACTAACTGATTTCAGTCTCCATGTGGGAAATCGACCCTCTTATGCTCCAGCTGCATCTTAGAAGTAGGTTCTGGGGCAATGGACTGTTTCATGGACAGCTACCTCAAGGTCAGTGAGTTTGTTCTCTTCTTCCTCAGATGGGAAAAGGCAGCTTCAGGGAATCATATTCTCTGACTCCTCCACGTTGCCTTACAGTCCTCAGCCAACCTCGATCAGTCCCTCAGCGACAAGCCCAATACAGGAGTGAACACAGGGAGTATTGCTGGGTGTGAGCGTGGTTGCTGAGTGGCCAATTCAGTGGCGTTCCTGTGGGAGTCATTAAAATATCACCAATCCCTTCTCCTCCCTCTCCCTCCCCTCCTCTCTGCCAATCTCCCTTCTCTAGAGGAAGCATATGAGACACCAGGTTATCTCCCTGAGCTCAAGAAAGTGTTGTATTAAACCACACCAAGGACTGTGCTATTTTCCTCCCGACCAAAATCGCTTTGCTTGCAACTGGCTGGGAAATGATACTTAAACAAAAGGGTAGTAATGGGAAAATCAAAGCTCTGTGGCTACTGTGAGGGCAACATTCAGAGACAGGACAACGTAGAGATTTGTTTGTGTGATTCTGTTTAATGCAATTATGTATATTATCCCCATGCAATTATTTTAATCTACATCTTTGAGATCCACAGCCCATTGAGAACTAAGGGACTGTTAAAAAACAAAATTCAGCTGAGTGAATTGGAAGAT